ATAATAATAATAATAATAACTTAATAGACAATATGGCTTTCATACTTACATCATGTTTACAGATAATGTACACAAAACTGTGTGTGTGTGTGTGTGCGCGTGCGTGCATGTTTAATCTGTGCTTTACTTTAAATATCCCTTGTGTCAAGTATGTGGGATGACTATGCAATATAATATAACTTAGTTCTTATATCTGAACTAACTGATATGATTTGAGATCTCGGAGAAGACTATAATTTCTGATATAAAAGAAGATACTTTACTGTAGTTATCACTATTTGATATACTGATAAAGAACACCGGTTTGTTAATGGGACATCTACAGATAAATGCTTTATGCTGCCATCTTCTGGAAATTAGTTGCCAATACACATATTTAATTGACGAAAAAAATAGCATTAAAGGATTGCTATAGAGTCAGTAATACTAACATGTGTTCCTGACACTATAGTGCTGGAATTTCCAGGGCCCCCCTTTCCATGGAGATCAAAAGGCTTCAAACAAACCTTTTCTTCCACACTGTGCCAGTTTTGTTTGGCTGGCCTCGATTCCATTGCTGAGTCTTGTTGATCTCAACCAATGCAATGCTTTCTCATAAGAAAGCATTGGGAGGCAAAACACTGCACTGTGACGTAGTGGTGGGCTTAATATCAAATGACCATATAGTGTAACTGAATCCCCATATTTGTTTGCTAATATAGGTAATTTAAGTAGCCTTGTAGAATTTTGTAAAACTGTATTTTTTGGATGTGCAATGTTCCTTAGTTTGTATTTTGTATATATTTTTGTCTTTAAAGCAGAACCAGTACTAAGAAATGCATGTTCCAATTTTACCCCCAATTCTCCTTTTCTCTTTATTCCTGTTAGCCTCCTGTGCTTGATAGCAGTGTCTGTGTGTGAGGCTGGACAGAAAGTGAAATGGATCTGCCCAAAAACAGCCTTTCGCACAGGAAATGTCTTGCAGGAGGAGCAGGTACAACACACTGTGTAACCTCCTGCATATGTGTTGTCAACTATAGGAGGGTGACTGGACAACAAAAAACATAGGAGAGTGAGTAATTTTTAAATAACCATACAAATTCCACATGATCTAAACATAATTTCCCTTTATCCTACGTTTAACAAACAAACTATTAGTCCCACATTTAAGCACTCAAAACCTAAGCCTGGAAAAAACATTTACCGTACACCAATGCCAAACTTAACCAAACTGAATAATTCTGAACATCCCCTATTAAATTACTATAAATCCTCTTAAACTTGTAATCATTTTAACATTAAACACTCTTTCATGGGCTCTGTACTTAACACATGAAATAAAAAGATTCCAGAGCTTGGTAATGGTGGATCTTGAACATACAATTAACATGGGCCGAAAAACAATAAAAAAAATCCGACAAACGTAGATCGAGCATGCATATCGGTGACACAGGGCGCCTATGGGCACAAGTTGGCCGCCGACCTCTAGGTCTTCTTCGACTCCTCAGAGGATCTGATCCTGGACAGAGGGATCTTGGAGCTGCCACCACCTATGCAGCTGTCACCTGCCCGGTGGAGTGAGGATTCTACCCCAGTGACAGAGGAGATACTGAGAGATATAATAGGAGCCCTCTAAAAGACAAGCCAGGCTGCTGTGTCGCAGCTCCATACTGACCTGACAGGCCTCGTGGGCCATCTAGGAGTGGTGGAAACCTCTGCAGAGAAGCATCAAGGGACTTAGTGGTGCTATTTAATAACATTGCTGACAAGATGGCGGTTCAGGCTGCTCTCAGGGGTAAGGCTCTGTTCACATTTGAAAATATGACCCTCACATTCTACCAGGATCTCTCTGGAGAAACTTTATTATGGCAAAAATCTATGCAGCCTTTCACTGCCTTATTTAGGGCCAACGGCTTGCGATACCAGTGGCGTTTGCCACGGACCCTGCAAATCCAGAAAGGAGAGACCAGCCACTCAGTGCATGACCTGCGAATAGCAATGGTGCTCCTGGGTAGCTTGGGTCTGCCAGAAGACTCTATGCCACAACCTGGACATTCCTGGACTGCAGCAACTCTCAGATGGGATCTGGCCGTTCATACCACAGAGGACCCTATAGGAAACTTATGCCACGATCACTACTTGAGGCTAAGGAGCAACATGTTTTTGCTTCCAAGTCCCCCATAATGGGGATTGTGTGTGGTAAATGGTTCGTAGTTTACTTGTGTATATTTTACAATATTATTTCATATGTTATTACTCACACTTATACCATGTTGCCCTACAATGTATTTTAAATGCCCACACTTTGCTCTGATATGTAGACAGATTCTCTCTCCCACCCCCTCTGAATCGACTTACATAAAAGTCATACTCCAGTGGAGTTGGGAGACATTAATCTTAAGGCTAGGCCGGTTGTCAGGAGTACACTAGTGTCTTTGCATAACAGATTAGCCAGTTGACCTTCTGAGTGATCTGATCCATAGTCATTCTAGTCACTTTCCTTTTTGACCCCTGTTTTACAGTTCATTTCATTTACTTTTTACATGTTGGCCTTAGTTTGTCACTTTGCTCATTGATATACCCACTATCAACCTCACAATATGTTCTCACAGACAGAGCCTGTTCAAAATGCAAGGTCACAGGTTCAAATCACGGCAGAGTCAACTCAGCCCTTCATCCTTCCGAGGTCGATAAAATGAGTACCATCAATTGAGTAATAATAACATCTATTGCCGATTTGGTTAATTCCGAGAGTGTGCGCTGAAATGTGCTTTGAGTCCCACTAGAAGAAATGTGCTATATAAATACTAGTTATTATTATTATTATTATTATTATTATTATTATCATTATCGAGGATAACTTGTCACAAGGCCGGTAACTAGTCTGCCCACCTCGAGGTGTCTCGCACACTATTACAATTCAAAACTCGACTCACGGGTTAATTATTTTTAGATAAATATTATTATTGCCTGCATCTGCATGTCTATTGATGTATCAAGTTGAATATAAATATAGAATAAAAAAAAAAATAAGCACAAGCTTGGCTCATTCTTCCTTGTTTTCAGACAATTACATACCCCTTGTTGAAACTTTAAAAAATAAAATAAAAAAGAATGGCAGACTTAACCTTTATCCTGGAAAGGAAGAATACATTGTATTAAAATGAACATTTTACCAAGACTTTTGTATATATTCCAAACATAACCTGTTGGAATATCCAAAAGCGATCTAAATAGTTTATAACTTTTATAGGGATGAATAAACACCATAGAATAGCTAGATACCTTTTTATATAGACCAAAAAATAGGGGTGGGTTGGGTCTTCCAAATCTTCTCTTACATTATTATGCCGCACAACTATCAGGAATCAGAATGTGGCATCCCACTCCAGGAAAAAGACGATGGGTGGGATCTTTTGGGATTTGATTTATGTGTTTATATAACTTATAATAACGTCTTTATGTATAGTCTCCCCATCTCTTTTAAATCCTTTATATATCTGGGATAAGTTAAGAACTGAATTTGAGTTGGCACATTTCCTGTCTGCAATGACTCAGATTTACATCGGGCATGAGACCACATGATTTTGGAGGTATTAGGGAGGCAGGTTTCTTACGATATTTGCACCTTTGATCTGAGGTGGGACACACACTTGGAAACTCATATTTCTACCACTACCTTCATTTAAAAGAGTTTGCCCTTTCTGCAGAAATCAAACAAACAGCAATTTTACCTCTTATGTCTTTTGAATTATTATGTAATAAAGGAATTTACAAAAAGGGCCTAATCTCTTTTTTATACATGCATCTGTGTGAAAAACCCTAAATATGGGGAAAAGTAAGATGCATTAATGAATGGGAATTAGACTTGGGTGAAACTCTTGAGGGAGGAGAGTGGAAAAAAATTGTAAGGCAGATGCAAAAATTCCAGTGTGTGTCCTGTCTCAGGAGCAGATGTATAAAATTTTATTCAGATGGCATGTAACTCCAGTCTGGTTACATAAAATAGGTAAAAATCCAAGTGATCTTTGTTGGCGACTATGTGGTTATAGAGGGAATTACTACACATGTAGTAAGATTGACCAAAACTTTTGGATAAGCGTAAGGGACATGTTAGGTAGAGTTTTACAGAGATCAATTGATGTGTCTCCCCGGACTTTCCTTTTATCTTGCAAAATTGAGGGACTCCCTAATCCTAATAAAAAAACCTTTTCAATTTAATCACATTAGCAGCTTTAAGAGTCATTGCAGCAGGTTGGCTCAAAATGGATTGTTTGTCTTGACTGTGTGTGTGACTGTCTGCCTGTGGCTGCCTGTAACTTTGTGTTTGTGTGTGTATGTGACTGTCTGCCTTTGACTGGGTATAACTGTCTGTAACTGTGTGTATGACTGACTATGTATGTGGCTGTCTGCCTGTAACTGTGTGTGTGACTGCCTCTTACTGTCTGCTTGTGACTGTGTTCGACTGTATGCCTGGGACTATGTACATGTGGGTATATTTGACAGTATATGTGTATAACTGTGTACATTTGACTGTATGTCTGACTGTGGGATTGTGTGCATGTGACACTGCAAAAATAAACACTAGCATTCACACATGGGTCTACATGCATTTTTTAAAATATGAGTTAAATACCCCTATAAAAACACAACATCCTTATACATACACAATATAGGGATGAGTGGGTGTTACCAGGGAAGGGCACTGTGAAAATGTTTCGCACAGAAGGTCTAAAGACCTAAGGTCAACCCTGGAAGGACAAACAGATCGTCTGGGGTTGCAGAGAGAACTTACTGGTATTTTGATTATGGATTTATGGGGGTTCAGTGTGATATGCAAATAGTATAGGATTTTTCTGTAATGGCAAAAGTAAGCAAAATCTATTTTGAGACCTGAGCGGGGATGTACCGAAGTACAAGCTATTGAGTTTCTCTAAACGTTGCACTAGGAGTTCTGTTATTCTGGGCACATAAACACACACACAAACATGTATGCAATCATGTAGCTTTGTTAACTTTCTCTATGCAGGAAAATGAAAATGGGGTGCTTGCTTGGTATGAACATCCTGTAGTATATGTACAGGGTTCCTCTCAGTCTGTATCACTGTGGGCTCCACAGCACAGTAATACGTAGCTAAGTCCTGTATCTCCACTGACTCAATAGACAGCTCTGTAGATCTCTGATTGCGATCGATGGCCATGTGGAACCTGCCATTAGTTGACTCTGTATTGAATCCGGAGATGACCATAACTAAAGCTCTCCCTTTAATGTGCTTGTACCAGTACATGTTTCTGTCATTAGTGATGCTGTGATTACACTTTATCTGAGCAGTCTCTTTCTCTGTCGCTGTGATAAATGGAGATTGATCCACTTGGTTTCCTTCTGCACCTGAGAAAGACACACAACATCAGCTTTTAAATAAAACTACTTTATTATTTGATTGGAATTACTTCCATTTGCTCCATGCAGATAATTATTGAAAATAATATAGGTTTATGTTAAGCAGAAATAAATATGTGAAACTAAAATAGCTGCTCCAATCAATAGCTATACCCATAAAGTGAAATATACTGGTTACAAAATATTGCAGGATGTTCTGAATCTACCAAAGCAAAGCACTAAATAGAAGGGATTTGATATCTTACTTGAGACAAATAATATCCTGAGTATAAGCCAAAGTAGCATTATTCGTGCCTTGTCTGTAGACATGATACAGCTGTGTGATATGTGTGAGTGTGCTGGTTCTTTGCACTGTAAGTGGGAGGATCCTAAGCTAGAAAAGATCATTTCATTGGTTATAAGGTGTGATAAAACAAAATGCAATGTAGGCCAGTACTGTGCTCTACATGTAATTTGCTATCCAGTTCCTGTAACCCCATAGAGCATGACTCTATTATCTCTAACTATATGCCAATGTATTATATTAATATTCAGCAATTTGGAAGCATTTGAATTTTTAACTTCCTTACGAAACAAAACAAGCTGTAAACAAACAAATGCGCAATAAAACAAAACAAACTATTTCCGATCCATTTGTTTTCAATATATTATGCATTTGAAACAGCAAGTTTAAGAAAATTGCTTTTTTTCTCCTTTATTTTGCTCTTTCAGGTGCTTAGTAAATTGCTCCCTTATTTGGTATTTACTTTCTATATACATTTTATATACATGCAGCATATACATTTTATATACATGTAGTAAATGCAAACTGTAAACTATCATTCACCATTTTATTCCCTATTTTTTATTTTTGCTACTAAGCCACTAAATACTGGGGTGGCTATATCTGTATAATAGTCAAAGAAAAAGTGTGTGTGTTTTAAACCCCATTATTTTATCTGATCACACATGTCCTGCAATGGAGGGTGGAGATTGTGATTGCAGCTTGTAAGAAGCAGTGCAGGGCGACCAGGCATTTAAAGACAGAGCAGACTAATAGGAGGGTCAGAACCGAACAGAGGTTATTTAACCCCTTAAGGACACATGACAGAAATATTCCGTCACGATTCCCTTTTATTCCCAAGTTGTGTCCTTAAGGGTTAAAGGACCATTCCCCATCCATAGAGCACTTCAGCTTGCTGAAGTGCTTTATGGGTGAAGAGTATCCCGTTTCAAAGGCAATTAATGAAACACCCTTGGCTGTCAGTTAAACTGCTAGAAAGGTTTGTTTCCTGCTTCATTTGGCTACTCTGACATAACGGCAGGTGCACTCTACTTACTGCATACCTCCTTCTCAAACCTCAGATCAGATGCTTCAGGCTATTTCCCAGTGAAAAGTCTCTTCTGGGGAAAAAAGCCGAGGGCTCTGCCAGTTCTTTTAAGATATACCCTCACTGAATAGAGTTTTCATTAGGGGGATATATAATATACAGTGAATTTGTATTTTTTTAAAAACTTTTTTATTTCATTGAGCAGTGGCTTGTCCCTCTAATGATTGCACTGCATTTGCTGTTGACTTGTCTTAGGTGTCCCCAAAAGATGGATGCCAGAGGACAAAAGTGGAAAAGGGCTGATAAAGGGTGTTGTGCATGTGTGGGCATGCAGTCTATGATGTTGTACGTCTATAAAATAAAGGCTGCTTCTATGTATAGAGGGTGCTAGTTGTGCTGTAATGTGTATGAAAGGAGTCTGTTTGTGATGTACTATGTGTGGCTAGGGCCAGTAGTGTTTGTGTGAGCGCGCATGCATAAGTGCTGTAAAGTTTGAATTGTGAGTGCTTGTAGGCACAGAATTCTCAAGCACCCCCAATTTTTCCTCCTCCAACATAAAAAAAACACCATTAAACAAAACTAAATTTGATAGTGTGTGTGTGAATTTATGTGTCTATAGTGTGTGCACATGTGTAGCTTTCAGTGTAAATGTCTAAGTACATGTTTCTGTGTGTGTATATATGTTTGTGTATGTGTAGTGTCAGTTAGTGTGGTTATAGATTCAATTTGATCTTTGTTATATTCAGGGGAACCCAATTTTTTTTCAGTTGCACTTGGAGAAGCATGAATTGGACACCAGACTCGTGTTGGTTATCAAAATAAGCCTCTGACCTTTATTTTATGATTTGTGCTCTTTTACATTAAAAAGTAAGTACTTACGTTCAAATACTCATAGAACAGTAGAAAGAAGGGAGTGAAATAACAGATGAGGAGTAAAGATAAGACGTAGGGATGAACATCATGTATATATAACAGATGTAGTAGAAGTTCCGGGAAAGAGAAGGAACAGACTGATTTAGGAGAGACAGCTCAGGTGAAGGCTATCTGCTCCCAGAACTAGACATATATGGTCTTAAGTGTCATTTTAAGCATTAAGCATTTCCTGAGTCCAAGTTAGCCAATTTTAATATAGGATATCTAATATGACACCTACAAGCTTAAGTCTTAGAATCAATGTAAATTCTTTCACAATCCCCTCTTTTGATCCAAGGGTCACCGAAATGTCCAAGGTATTTCCAGGCCTGCTAGCCAAAGCCTGTGGGACTTTCATTATTTCTTCACCATGGTTCCCTTGGACTGAGAGACCTCCAGAATCAGCTGAGGAAAGAGGAGAAGCCAGGAGAATAGAGTGGACTGGGTGAGAATGACCAACTCAGAAATGACAATATAAACACAAACATATATTGCTACCCAGAACTTCTACCCGTATTGCTCCCAACGCTGTTGCACACACACACACATTAAAATGTTATGGAAATACTTAAATGCATAATTTTTTTATTTTAAAAAATGTTTTTTTTTCCTGTCTCCAGCACTGAAAAATGACATGTCACTCTGTAAACCACTGATGTTTATTGTATCTTTTATGTGCTCTCTTCCTTTGTTCATTTATACATATACTAAACTTTGTATCATTAAACCTTATACTATATTACTACAGAATTGTACTTGACTGATCAGGTTGAAATATCATTTTTGAGATTGCACCATTGTTGCACCATTTTATCTAGTTTCCAAATATTAGGACAGAGGGTTTTGCTTATATACATGTTTATGATATAGTTATTTCTCATTTAAAAGAAAAATGCTTATTGTCTCATAAGGGTTGTTGAAAGTGTTCCTAAATAGATGGAGGATCAAACTGCATGATACATCTTGTAAGTAGATATACAATGTTTTAGTTACATAGTCATATTGTAGTCTAGGTTGAAAAACAATAAAGACCCTTTGAAACCCTAATTTTCTGTTGTGTTAATTCACCAAAGAAATAAAATAAAATTAAAGGCATGGATTAAAAGGGGGGAGAAGTCCTTCTTTCACCATAATGGCATTTAGATAATGCCTTGGATCAACTCTCATAGCTTTTAATTATAACCATAAAATGTTTCTCCAAAATAATGACATCAATTCATTTTTTATAAATAAACTCTGGTTTAAAACAACTAATAACAACTAAGTAGGCTTGGCACTACTCCAAATCTAACTCAAAAGGTAAACAATGCCTGGGTGCTATAACCCACGTTGTAAATATAATTACTGTAAACAAAGGGTGCATTCACAGGTCTTTTTAAATCTTCAATGGTGTTTATTTGTCGTGGTAATAATCCAAATCAACTGTTCATAATAATAATCGTGTCTGTTTTTTATTTCTTTTTATATGTTATATTTACCATTAGCTGTGACTTTAACAAATATATTATATAAAAAGCTATGCGTAGATTGATACTAGATAGGCAGATATCCATTTCAGTTATTTACATCTGAGGCTCTTTTCTTTTTTATTCCAGGAAGGAAAGATAAGGTTTGAAGTGATTTCCGGTTGTCCTGTCATTCTCCTATGGTCTGATAAGTCTCCGAAATCCCATATGGATGTATAACAAGCAAATGAATAGCGCGATGGACAAACAAGTTGATTTGTTTCAGGATTTGAAGTTTCTCCCGTGGTGTCAAAAAAAATTGTATTGATGGGAAAAAAGATAATTAATGGATAGATGATAGCCATTAAATGTTGATTTTCTTCTCAGATCAAGTGATAAGTGGACCAATTGAGAGAAAAAAGAGGAGTAGTAAAAATGCAACATTTACATATTTATATATTTAATAATTATATGTAATATGTAAAAAAAAAATGGTTCAACGGAAACAAATTTTTACAGCACCCAAGTATAGTCATTATATATCTCCAAAGTAAAATGATGGGCAAGGGACAGTAGCCAGTTTATTACATTTATTGGTGGATCTACATAATTGTTTATAAATGTTCATAAAATTAATATTATTTGATTATGCGGCTAGATTTCTAAAGAGGTTACCAACCTTTGTATTGAAAGAGATCATGCTATGCATGTTAAAAAAAAAATATGCTTTTAAAAAAAAAGATCTTACTTACTGTGACTGGTACGTTAATCCAATCAGTTTAATTTTAAAGGAACATGCCAAACAACATAACCACTATGTTATGTTGCCAGGTTACTTGTAGCAACTCCAAATTGTAAGCAGTCAAACAGTTTTAGAATATCTTACTTGTGGTCCACTGGGTGCAGATCCCCACCTCTAGTAATAACAATGAAAAGACAGAAGCTCCTAATTAAGAGCATCCATTGGCTGTTTTTCTTTAGCTTCATTTTTTTTCAGTCTGGTAAATTTTCAGGCTGGACAAAAGTGGTAAGTGGTGTCCCTCAGGGTTCTGTTTTGGAACTGCTTCTATTTAACATATTTATAAATGATCTTGAAAAATGCATTGAAAGCCATGTATCAGTGTTTGCAGATGACACAAAACTTTGTAAAGTAATAAAATGTGAGCAGGATATTGCTTTGCTGCAGAGGAATTTGGATAGATTGGGGGGACTGGGCACTAAAATGGCAGTTAAAATTTAACGTAGATAAATGAAAAGTAATGCACTTTGGGGTTAAGAATGCACAAGCAATTTACACCCTAAATGGTAGTGAATTAGAGATAACCACACACGAGAAGGATTTGGGAATTGTTATAGACAACAAATTAGGCAGCAGTATGCAATGTCAATCTGCAGTTGCTAAGGCCAGTAAGGTTTTGTCATGTATAAATAGAGGCATAAATTCTCGGGATGAAAATATAATTTTGCCTCTTTATAAATTGCTGGTAAGACCACACCTTGCATATGCTGTGCAATTTTGGGCACCTGTTCTAAAGAAGGATATCTTGGCACTAGAAAAAGTGCAGAGACGAGCTACAAAATTTAGAGAGCATTTTAGTTACGAAGAAAGGTTAAAAAATAAATCTCTTTAGTTTGGAAAAAC